GTGATGCAATCATTTGCGACAACTCTGACGACGTTGAGATTCTCCTTCGGCAGGGCGTTAGTTCCTTTTTTTTGTTACTACAAGGTAAAGACACACTGAAACACACGAACCACCTCATTTTTATTGCAACAACATCGTACATTAAGCAATTTCCGTCGGCATCACAAATCTCAGCGCAATTGAGTGTCAGATGCCGCCTTTTGCTCAATCAACTCACCTATGCTAGTTTCATTGGTTTAGAAAGAGAAACGTGAACAAAGTTGGTCATAAATAATAACATCCCATCTGCTTTTTATCAGCTTTTTTTCCCACACTGCAGATTGATCTCAACCAGGTCGTGAACAGAGACGGTGATTCCCTCCTTCTGCAGGCCGCCATGCATGGCTCCGATCGGTCACTGCGCATCATCCTCATTTATGGTGGGGCAGTTAATTCCGCTGACAGATATGGTAACACAGCGCTCCACTGGGCAGCAGTTACAGGCAATATGAATTGCGTCCACTACCTTCTGGACTATGGAATCGACTTGGATACATTCAATTGCACCAATGTCACGCCCCTCATGTTGGCCCTCTCCTTCGGGCACATTGAAGTCGCGAATCATCTGCTCTATCACGGAGCCTCCACAACACCAGAATTAAACAACTATGACGAATCAGCCCTCACATTTGCATTAAATACGGTTGGTTGCTGGTATTTTATACAAAGCATTTCATTCTCATTACCCTACGTCCACAATAGGGATTCCATCTTGACTTCTTACACCGTCGTCGCCGCTGCCGCCACCACCACCACAGATTCTCATGATTGTCCAAATTTTGCCTAGAATAACAATGCCATAGTGGAGCTCATTTTGGCTGCGGAGGTTCCTCCAGAACATCGGATTAGGGAGTTGTACGTTTCTCTCGGACAGGCTGCGTTTAGTGGATGCATGGCCACGGTTCAACTCTTGTTATCTCATGGCGCACCTGTAGACTTCTCAAACGCCTTAATTGAAAGTCCTCTTCACGCAGCTATTCGTGGCGACAACGAGGAAATTGTCGAATTCCTTCTTTCTAAGGGGGCAAATATTAACGCTCTTAACCCCGACGGCTACACACCACTTATGGAGGCTACGAGGAGACGCAATGTGAATGCTGTCTATGCTCTCATAAATGCGGGTCAGTAGTCCTTCTTAATCGCTTTGTCCGTTTTCGCATTTTCTCTAACTGCGATACAGCAAAACGGTGCCTGTTGTTTACCGATTACCACTTCTTTGTTAGCGTTTTATTTCTCGTCGTCTGACTAACGTGATGGTTTTTGCTGCCGTTCTAAGGAGCTGACATAATGGCCCTGAATGATGCGAATGGAAAGACAGCTTACACTCTGGCCGAAGAAGGGAAATACTTTGAAATCTCCGATATGCTACTAGAAGCTTTAAACTGTCGATATTTGTAGTTTCTCTCTTTACTTCATAATTTACTCTTCAACCCACCAATGTATTGGAACTTCGAGTCCACTGGGTGTAAATTCTCAAAGCACGCTCGCGTAAAGGAGTGGAGACAATGAAGAGGCTGTACGTTGAATAGCGTACGCGTAATGCCACTGACAAAGGCTACGGCCGTGGTCGAATTTTCGGCTTTTGTGATTAACGTTAACGATAGTGCATTAGATTGACTAACCAAAAGAGCTCGCTGCCCTTTATAGCACACAGATTGACGGAGAGCGGTGACATTGCCACTTGTCAGTGTCTAAA